TCCCATAATTTCTTTATAACTGAAGGCAGTGGCTTTATCAGTAATGAGGTCTATTTGATATTCAACAGTATTCAACACCATCTAGTGCTAATGGATTTTCCATTAATGAATAAATTAATTGAGTAGTACCCGCAGTGCATGCTGGTTGGCTATGGCCCTTTAAGGGAATATAGAAATCAAATGTGACAAAGACATGGTTCTGGACTAGTGTTTTTATCTGTACATTGTAATTACATATTAATAAGTATTACAAGTATTTTAAGTTCAACATTGAGTTCAAATTATTATTTTCATAGTATTACTTTTATCTTTTTTCATTTGAGTGTGATAGAGAGAAGACATTAAACCTGTGAAAGAAGAATCAAAATAGTCAAGGTGTAATAGTCAAATAGACAAATGTCTTCACTCTAAAACACCACAAATAGTCTTTGTTAATGACTGAATGTCTAAGGTTTTTTAATATTGAGTGACCTGATCGTGACACTGGGTCTCATCAAAGATCTGTCATGAAAAGAAGCAAGTTTTGGACGTTAGTCTGAGGACATTAAACTGAAACTCTGCACAAATGTGCTGAAGTTTTTACAAATGATAACTTTGTATCTTGTAATTTTCAAAGGTTTTTATTATTCTGTCGGTTATATTTCAACAGCCAATCACCAATCTACCGCTTGGAATTGTTTGATTGATGTCAAAATCCATGAGGCCAAACAACAGGGTACACCCATCCATAGCAAGCAATAAACAATAAATTTTCAAATGTGTTGAAACCAAACCATTTTCATTGCAATAAATTGAATTATCAAATAAAGCAATTTCAATTATGTGTTTTTGACTTAAACTGATTGGTCTGCTCCAAAACTCACAAGCTTACCAACAGAATCTTATATAAATATTTAATGGCAAAGTGGCCACAGACAGTTACTATGTTGACCAGCACATAGTGTGATGTACATGTTAGAGTTTGTCTGCCTGTGCTTTAGGCACTTATTATGATCAGAAGGGCCCAGTAGATGACATACAAATGACTAGTATTGACCATGCTCTAAATGACCTGTACACTAGTTTGTGCAATAAGCAACAGCACCGTTTTTTCAAAGCAGAGCATGATGGAAAAGCAGTCCTTGCACTTAACTTCTAACGCTAAAAGTCCCAACTTTTTGTTTTGTGGGCTTGTTCGTTTTCTGGACAGAAATGGCAGAACTACTTGTATATTTGAAAAAATAGGCAAAAACGTTT